GTCATCAGCTTGTTTAAATTTTCCTGTGATATTACAAAGTAAAGTTCAGATCAAGAAATGAAAGATCTGCATCCCTGCAGCTGCATGTATTTCAACCATGGAAAGGTGTTAATAATTTGTCAGCTTTAAACTGGATTGTAAAATTTCCATATTATCGTACAAAATCTTATGCGTTCGTTCATCTTTTGCTGTTGAACGTTACTCTTAAAAGGGAATATAATTTGGCTACTATGTCATCTTACCTTTGATTTACATCAGCTGGGATGTAACTACTTTAATACCCTGAGTCTCATAGCTTTGAATAATGAACGATTCCCTTGCTTGCCTTCCTGAATCAATATACTGGCTAGGCTTGCATATGTGATAATCCTAAAGCCAGCCTCTCTCTTTTACAAACCTGCTCCATTATTCATGAATCATGAATGGTAGAAATACTGAAAATATTCCGAAATCCAAAATCTCTAATTGGTAAAACATTCTGAACTCTGTGCAACAGCTGAAAGAAATTTACTTATTTCAATGTCATATTTAGCTTTAAAAATAGAGGTGTATGGAAAAAAAATCTGAATTACAACATCCTCAACAATTTTAAAGAGTTTTAATTTTGATGAATTAATTAAAGAATATCATTCCATGTTGAAAAAGAGAAGAAACTGGTCCATCATTTAAATGGAAAGAAAATGTACCCGTAGTACCTAATCTTCTTCATACTATTGCTATAGGACTTCAAGGGTTATAACATTGCTTTTCACATTTTAAATTCCCTTTCTTCAAGTAGAACGGAAAAGGGTACGCACCCGGAAAAGAGCTGAGACCGTCTGGAAGGAAGAACCCTTCTTCTTGCCACCCTTTTTGCCACCACCACCCTCTGTTAATGAAAGAAGGGGAAAACAGTATTAAAATATTGATGTTGAACATTGAACTACAGAACAGAAAATACTTTTTAAACATTTAGGCTTTCCTATTGGATTTCCTGTCAGAATTTTCCTACATTGAAAATACAATTTTCACAGAGCTGACCTGCATCTGCTCCACCATAGTTGGCAAAGAGTAAGGCCAGTGTCTTCACAGATGATTTCTGATACAACCCAATGACAGTTTCATTCAGGGGGTCCTTGTTCTTCTCCAGCCAGCCAGTGATATTGTAGTCCACTGTGCCAGCATAGTGCACCAGGGAGAAGTGGGCCTCAGCCTTGCCTTTGGCAGGTTTGGGCTTCTGGAAGTTGCTGGACTTGCCCAGATGCTGGTCATAGAGCTTGTTCTTGAAAGAGGTGTCAGTTGCCTTGGGGAACATGCACTCCTCTTCCAGGATGGAGAAGATGCCCATGGGCTGGAAAGACATTATAACAAACCACAGGAAGAAATAGATTCCTTGATTGGAAAGAGGCTAGTATTAGGACAGAAAGTTGTAAAACAAAGAAGAAGATATGGTTGATTCCATCCTTTTCTGGACAGTTTGTCACAGAAAATTAACTGAGGTTCATCATTTTTCATCCTTGGTGTTTCAACTGTACTTGTTGAACTTATTTTAACCATTCCAGGCAAAATTACAAATTACAGAAATATGGAGCACTTGAAAAAATTAATTTTATCATTTTAATCCATACATTAAAAAATTCTTCTTTTATCCCTCAATAACTAGAAAAATCCAATATTAAAGGACCTGAACAGGAAGGATACCTTCTCAATGAGCTCAATGCAGGCAGCCAGGTCCATCCCAAAGTCAATGAATGTCCATTCAATTCCTTCCTTCTTGTACTCCTCCTGCTCCAGCACGAACATGTGGTGGTTGAAGAACTGTTGCAGTTTCTCATTGGTGAAGTTGATGCACAGCTGCTCAAAGCTGTTGAACTGCCCAAAGCAAGGAGAGGCACACAGGTTCTCAAGGTGAAGCAAATGCCACAGGGTTTTGCTAGCATTCGGGAATTGCTTTTGGAAGTCCCCCAGCCGACACAACCCCTCCTAACCGTACTGTAACAGCATGTGTTCCCTTTGCAGGACTTCTGTTGCAAAATTTACTGTCCACCAAGGAAATTTTTCTTATTACTTTTCAAATGAAGCTAAAATAAACATTTATTTTTTACTGTGCCATTCACAACCAAGTCCTTCAGCAACCTTAGCTACAGCACTGTGTAGTTGATTCAGCTCTCTGACCTCCCAGAGAGTAGAAAACTCCTTGGTATCCCACTCAGGAATTTCTCTGCCCTCCGGTCAACAATGCTGGGCTTTCTCTGCTCTGACACAGAAGTCCTGGCATTATTGCTGCATTCACAACATAGGAAACATGCTGTGAACTTTCCCATAGCATGATGCTTTCATTGGCTCTTCCAAGAGCGTCCACACCTTTGGCCCACATTCTGTGTGAGTCTTAGTTCTAGAGCTATCTCTTTGTCTCCAAAGCCTTTGCAAGCTCCTGGGACTCTGAGATCTTTTGTCAGAAAGCAGAGCTTTCTTCTACCTGTTGACAACGATAGAATCAAAGTGTTTGTTTCTAAGGCCATATGAGGGTGCTACCGTGACAGAGCAGAGGGAGAGGTTTCTAGAAAACTGCAGATGAGGAGGACAAACTTCTGAATCTTCTTTAAAAGAAGTGTGCTTCAGAGTCCTCATGGTTGCTCCCTAGCCCCCCTTGACCATGGTGCCAAATCCTTGTTCCTTACATCAAAGATCTCAAAGCCAGCAATGTCCAGGACACCAATGAAGTACTGTCTGGGCTGCTTGGTATCCAGCTGTTGGTTGATGCGAATAACCATCCACAAGAACATCTTCTCATAGACAGCTTTAGCCAGGGCACCAACTGCATTGTTCACCTAAAAGCAGAGAAGGAAGGATCAGAGTTACCTCCCAGGGTCAAAGGAGAACCCTGAACTCCTCTTTGAAGTAATTTTCCAACTATCTTTTATTTACCTGTTCCACAGTTTGACCCTTGGTCACATATTCATTCCCCACCTTGACTCGGGGATAACACAGGGCTTTGAGCAGGTCAGCTGAGTTCAGGCCCATCAGGTAGGCAGCCTTGTCAGCAACTGAGAGAAAAGAGAGACAAAGAAAACATTGATTTCTGGAAAAGGACTGGAATTTGATCAATGGGTGTGTGTCTCAGAAATGACAACAATTTCAGAATGCTTGACTGCAAATCTTTTAATCTAGTATCACAGCAAGCATATTGAATACAGGAAAGCTGTGAAAGCCAATACTGTGGTTTTTCAAAAGCAGTTATCAGTAAGAAAATTTTCCTTGAATATTTTTAGTAAATTCATAAACTGAAACAATGCTATAATAACTTTCATTTTAAAAATACATGAAGATTGCAACTTGGCATCTTAGTCAAGTTCTCAGAAAGCTCTTACATTTAAATAGGCAACAGTCTTCACTGCCAAGAGGAGAAGCATGTACATGCCAGAGCTGATTCCAGAGCCTATGTATGAAACCAAGGAAGCTGCCTCTTCAAAAAAGTTTGTCAAAACCCTCTGCATGCTAAATGGAAAAATGCAGGAAACTATCCCATCAAAAAGCTAAATGAAGGAGTAGCACTAAGATAGGCCAGGGATCAGACAATCAGGTTCACAGCTTCATGAACACTAAAAGAAACATTAAATAGCTTTCACTTGATGAAGCTTTAGTTTTTGTCATGTCTAAAAAAAGTATCTTCCCAAAACTGGTTGCTTTATTAAAAGATCAGTTGCTAAGGACCTTCTGTGCCATCGGGCTCTGCCTGCTCCTCTCGTTGTTTCTGCTTGAACTTCAAGTTCCCATAGTGCATGACAGCCCCTGTCAGCTTGTAGATGGCGGTCTTTTCATCAGGAGTGAAGCCCAGGATGTCAATGGCACTCTGCAGCCAAAACAATGGAGTAAAAACATTGCCTAACAACCTTAACAGTCTCACTAAAAATATTTTCTTTATGGTACTCACATCTGTAGCCATGAGCTCCTCCTGGTCATCAATGCTTGGAACAGTGACCTCACCTTGACTCACGAAGTGATAGTCATATGGGTTGGTGGTAATG